TTCGCAAGTATCACAGATTTCTGTCAACTAAATGTAAGTGGGAATCTAAAAGAAATGCTCCATTTTACTGAAACCAAAACCATTTCCTTAATACCAAGACTTTGGTCAACAACATTTTTTAATTACAACAACGTAAATTTATTATATGAACTGAATTATCATTTAATCTTAATGCATGTTTTTCTGATTACAGACCCATGTGAGCAACATTAACAATATATGTATATGAATGAAAACCATGTGCATTCATATCAAAATAGCGTTGCCAGAACTTTGAGCGCAGAAGTACTAAAACATATCCTGGGGGAAAGGTGGATGAAAGTTACTCTGAAATACAATGCAGTTATGAGTGGTAAAAAGTCATACATTTGACGTATATTTACAGCAGCAGCCAAGGACAGTGCTCTTGTAGACAGCTGGGCACAAATTAAGGGAATTAGGAAGTACTATTCTCCATATGTAGAGTTGACATGCCCCATTGTTGTATTAGATCTGGAAAACATTTGCCAACATATTATCATCCAAATGGAGTAAATACACAGAATGGCAGCAGAAACCGCTGTCCCCTGCAAGTAGATGACTGCTTTCCAGTCTTGTTTTCAAGAGAAATATATGCTGCCTAACTTTGTTAAATGGTTAACTGCACTAGTATCACATACCTGCAAGTGGTAAATAGTAAATAAACAGAGTACAGTGAGAAGCAGCAGAATGAAACACAGAAATGACAAGTTGATGCTGACTGTAACAGAAAACTTGGCAGCATTATTCCACACTTTAACTCATCTCAGGCTGTTGGGCAAAACTGAAGATTCACAGATCAGACAGTGCTAAACAGAATAAAGCAGCACTGCAACAAAATGAATCCAGCAGTACAAAATCATTTTTTGTATTAGCTCTCTTGGTGCACTCTACTAGTCAGATCTTCTTTTGTAGGAGTCATGTTTATTGGATGCTCAGGGGAAAAACTGAACTTTTGAGCAACCAAACCCCACTATAATGTAAAACAAAAAGACATGCATCGTGAAGTCTGGGGCTGTCAAAGCACAACATTTTACAGATTTAATTTTGTCCTTTAGAAACCAGGTTTCCTCTTCCTAGACATTACAACACATTTAAAGGGGAGGGGGAAGACTGCAAATTACTATTGAAATAACTGATCTTATGGGCAACGTGCTCCTAGTGGGAGTTCAGAATGACTTAGTGTGAAGATTTGTGGACAAGATTTTTATGCTGTGTTTACATTTTCTGGGAGCTTAAGAGAAAACAGTCTGAAATAAGCTGCAGCTAACATGCTACAGGAAATGAAGGAAGAGAACCAGACTTACCAAGAAAGATTTACATTTATATAATCATAATGGCTATGTTTTGGCTTAGAAAAAGGAATGCAATTGTTCTAAAATACACAGAAAAGCTGTTGACTGGTGCTTCTCCTTACCTAGTGGGTCATGAGCCACTCCAACAGTGTACACTCTATCAAAATGCTTTTTAAGAGAGCTCTTTCCCCATTGCATGGTACTTGGTTTACAAACCAGAACTTCCATTAGTACGTCCTCTCTTGATGGCAACCAAAGAGACAACAAACCAGCACAGTCCTCACCTATGCCAAAGGTGTTGGTGTGAAACCCACCAGAGCATTGTTCATGGTTCCAGGAGAAAGTGTTCAGACAGCTTGTTGGTAAGTAGTAATATGCTCTTCAAAGTATAGTGTCATCTTTTAGTAAAGATGTCCACAGCATATTAGTAGAAGAAATTGCAATCAGCTGCTTACTGCCTTGCAAAATTTCTGTTTACGCTGAAATAATTCATGGCAAACATCTAATAAAATTTTAAGTTCTATAGAAGGAAATTTTAGGTGCCTTTGAAATTAAAGTTTTGAACTCAAAAGTAATAAAAGGGGAATGTGCTTTTTACATCTTAAGGCTGTCTAGCATTTGCATGCTTCTGTAGAGAATCAGTTTACTTGGCAGAGGATCTTACTAGTGCCAGAAATAAGTCTTTTTTTCTCTGCACTAAAGTATGCCTACACTTGACTAGATCACGAGCTCTTTTATTTAAAAGTAAACAAAAAAAACAACCCTTTCCTACCAAAAATCCAGCTTTGCACATGCTCAATATGACACCAACATTTCAGCCAGATTTTTTCCATTAGTCAGAAATCCATGGATCATACACGTAGGAAGGTGTGCTCTAGAACTGTGGACTGTTACCGGCTTAGCTGGACTTTCCTAGAAGTCCTGTTCTGAATCACAGAAGTAAGGCACAAGAATGGAAGGTAAGGGATTTATCTCACCTGCATTTGACAGGGCAGCTGGAGGAGATTCTGTATGAAGATGAGAGAGTAAAGGTTAAAGGGAATCATAGGAGTCTATGTAGGACTGCCTTGTCCTACTTGAGTTTATACACTTATTTTTACGTAACTTTTTGGTGATATGTATGGGTAGAAATGGATGAACAAACTTGTTCAAATTAGCTCTAACTTCAATTTTCACCCAGTCTTACATGCTTATCTTCCACAGAAATCCTTTGAGAGAGTCTGCACCATATATCTCTTTCTAACATTCTTACCCGTAAGAAACAATGTTTTACAATACATCAGGTATTCAGCTGAGATGAAAATAAACTGCAAAAGAGTATGGCACCATAGAACTTCATTTCCAGAAACAAAGTACTGCTAAGACAAATATGTTTACACTGCAGTAAGCCTGAATATTAAAAGATCCTACTTGAATTTGTAACTACGCTTTACAGTTATAGCAAACTAGCAGAATGTGGTTAGAGTATCAGATAACATCTGCTAACTGATGACACAGAGCTGCTAACAACTTTTAATACTTTCCCTTTTACAGTTTCAGTTAGGCCAAGAGAAAGGCCTCTCTGACATGAGTAAACAACACACATTTGTATTCCAGAAGCATGAGAAAGACTCTAATATGAGATTTGGTTGAGGAGTGTTTCATGGTCAGGCATGCTGTATCTTAACTAGAACTTTTAAAAAGGGAAAAGCTCCTTTGAGAGGATATGCCAAGAGAGCAGCACTGCACTAGGCAGCAATTTGGGAGACACCAAAAGTTCTGTGAACTTCTACAAGCATCCATTGTGAGAGCAAGTGCAATAGCAGCAGACACCCGTTCTTAGGTAGGAAGTGTAACTCATGGGATCGCCAGCTATGTTGGTGACTGATCATTTGCATATTTACTAATTCTACTGGTATCAACAGTATAGATGTTGTCTAACTAGCAAAGATAACTGGAGAGTCTTTTAAATTTCTTGAAGTAAATCTATCTTCTAGCCCAACAACTGCGCTACTCCAGAAGAATTATTTTAAAAGCAGTTCAGCACCATGTATTACATATAGTATAATCAAAAGATAAAAAACCCACCAACACCAAGAGCCCACCAAACAAACAAACAGAAATAGCCCCCAAAACCACAGCAAATAGAGAAGGGCCACGAGGATGATCAGGGGACTGGAGCACCTCCTGTATGAAGACAGGATGAGAAAGCTGGGGCTGTTCAGCCGGGAGAAGAGAAGGCTGCGTGGAGACCTCATAGCAGCCTTTCAGTATCTGAAGGGGGGCAACAGGGATTCTGGGGAAGGACTCTTCATTAGGGACTGTAGTGACAGGACAAGGGATAATGGGTTAAAACTTAAACGGGAAGTTTAGATTGGATATAAGGAGGAAATTCTTTCCTGTTAGGGTGGTGAGGCACTGGAATAGGTTCCCAAGGGAGGTTGTGAATGCTCCGTCCCTGGCAGTGTTCAAGACCAGGTTGGATGAAGCCTTGGGTGAGACTGTTTAGTGTGAGGTGTCCCTGCCCATGGCAGGGGGGTTGGAACTTGATGATCTTAAGGTCCTTTCCAACCCTAACTATTCTATGATTCTATGGTTTTTCCATGTCACAACAATAGTATGTTCCCAGCTGGAAAAAGGCTGCATTGCAGACATGCAGTTCCTATTAATAAACCGATACTTACTCACTGACCAAAACTGGACTTTCAAGAACAAGTCTGTCCTCCTTTTTCCCCAAGGGATGGTTGGTGCCAATAAAGAATAACTGACAACTGTATATTTCCCTTGAAAATTCTACTATTTTGACTAAACTAAAACCAAAATATACTTGCAGCAAGGCTTTTGCTATAATACTATGTAACACGTATGGTTTATATTTGGAGAAATACAACACCTTGTTTAAAAACACAGCCCTTAAGATTAATATATACTAACATATGCTGACTTCCAACGTTCTACTGTTGTTGACTTGTACTTACAGAACTAGCAGAATCTTTTTTGGAACCTGCCCCCACCCCAAAAAAATAACAACCCCAAAATATTAGGAATTCTATAAGGGGAGGGAGAGGAAATAAGAATGAGGCTGTTCCCCAATATATTCATTGCCAAACATTCTTGGATTACTTCTTTGCCAAATGCGAAAGTAAATCTTTTTCTGGGTTTGGCATAATGAGAACTCCCTATAGGTATCTTGTATAATGGAACACTGTTTATTTTGCTGCAGGGACTGTTCAGTTTATGGAGAGTCTGTTCTGAAAGAACTACTATGCTCCTTTTACAACTTTACACTCTGCCACTCTGTAAAATCTTCCTTCAGCTTCTTAGGAGGAAAGGAAGGGGTATCTAATTCTAACATATTCCACTGTGTTATATGAAATTATTTAGTATTTAGATTTTTGCTGTAGGATACTCGTGCTAGAAGACTTTGGAAAAAGATGGTGTTTAACATTCCAAAATCAGCACTTACAGAAAATACTTTATAACATGATAGGTATACTCAGAAGACTACTTAATATCTGAATGTGTCTGGGCCCAGGGAAACACCAGTGTCTCTAAAGTCAATCAGAGTTTCTTGTACAGAGCTAAACTTTCATTATGATGACCTGTTCAAACTAACAAACTTAACTATATATCTCTCACTGAATGTTACAGACTTACAAGATAAAAAGGCATTCTAAATAACAGTTGTCTGTAGCTGTAATGAAATTTACTCTCCCTCAGTAGGTTTACTGCAATTCCTATAAATTATCCAAGTATTTCAATATTTATTATAGAAATATTTTACAAATACTTTGTGTATTAAAAATAAAATAACCAAAATCCCTTGCTCAATCATCCAGTGTTTGTAAAATAACCACCCTCTGCAGAATTCCTTTACATAAGTAACACTGGGAGGAAAAAGAGAGTGGTCATGGAAAAAGATTTAGCCATATTCATTTATAGGTAGCTGGGCAAATACTTTGAAGGATGGCTTGATCTCTTCATGTCAGACCCCAAGCACTCATCCAGCATCACAGGAGAAGAGCTCTCAGCTGATGTGTGGTTGCTGTGCCAGCTTTCTGATACCCCTAAAAGAGATGAGGATGCCAGAAAATTCAAAGAAAATTATGGTGGTAGCAGATTTTACTTCAGCAGCCCTTGCTCATCCAAGAACCACATGAAACTGCTGCTGTGAATAAGAATATGAAAAAGATGGTGTTTAAATCCTGGGGATTGTTCATGGCACTCTAGGGACAAAGACTCAATATTCAGGTTTGTCCCAAGAGGCTTCTAGATTTCAAGCAGCAACAATGCTACATTAAGACTCTAATCTATGTGTGAGGAGATGAATGCATAAGAATTACAGAATCAGAAGGAAAAGTGACCTGAGAAAGTACTAAAGATAACAAAAATGGTGTCAGTCATGCAAAGAATGTGGGAAATTTGTTTTTACTGGAAAAATGTTGTAGTATTAAACTATGGTATACAGAGAGGTATAATAATATTTTTTTCTACATTTATTAAATATTTTATTTATAATGCAAAAAACGTATTTCAGATCTTCACTGAGTATGTGTAATCTTTATTAATGGGGAATGCTACTGTAAAGTAACTGACCAGCAATCCAGATGTAACAGCTTAAAAGTTTGATGACACAAGGCTGAATTTCCCCAATTAATTTTTGCAGAACCAGTTTTAAGCAGCAGTTCAGCATCCCTAAAAATGGGGCAACTGGAATTATGCACAAACATGAACATATTTCTACCAAGAGGTGTCTCAACCAAGGCCACCTGACTACTTTACCAATGTTTTTCCTCAGGATCCCATAAGGCATATCCCAAAGGAAGGAACAACTCAGGCCTTAATTCTTAGAGAGGCAGTAAAATTGGAAAGGGAACTTCTCCAATTTGATTATTCTCACTCTGCTGCTCCTATTACAACAAGTGTCACCTGGGACTAATCTGGAGTTTGTCACAATATACATTTGCTTCTTCGAAACAAAGTGTGATTCATGTCACAGTACTTAGGGAGTATTGTACATAAAAGCAAAAAACATATTTAAACTACCCTAGAAACAGAAAACAAACCACACCAAAATGAATCTTACCTTTGCAACGAATAAAAGATGAAGGTCTAGTGCAGCTACTGACCTCTGAACTATTTGCTGAACCACCTCCCCTTACCACTGGCTGGCCTGTTCCACTAGTACACAAGGCACTCAGTGTCTCACTGCTATCATAAGTTACTTTCTTTTCATTGAATATTCTCATGCTTTAAGGATCTTTTGTCCCCCTCAGACCACCCTAGAGAAAAATATACAATTCTTTTCTGGATACAGTCAGCTAGGTAATTGCACTAGCCCATGTTTCATTAGGACCTTCAAAAAACTTTGCCTGTTTGCCTGATTTATTTACATCGCTATTTCCTGGCTCTTTCTTCTAAGAAGTCCTGTATAGCTTCCTTTACTTAAATACACATTCTAAAGAACACAACACACAGTGAAGTGAGGGAACAGTCCCATGTGTATCTAAAAGGTAATACAGTGTTTTTTTTAAATCTCCCAGTAAGTGGTGAGAAAAATGCACCCTAAGTAATACTGCCAGCAGAATGGTAATAGTGATGGTATGGTTTGATGCACGGCGTGGGATGTAATTCTCAAGGAATACAATAAGCCTGATCACTAAATGTACTTTCTTATCCTACTTTAATCAGATATTGCCTGGACAGGATCCCATACATTCTGCAAAACAACATAAAAGTCTGGACTTTTGAACCAAGGAGCTCCAATTCTAGTCACTGCTCCAGGAGACTAAAAGCCACTTAAAGCCAGCATCAGAATAGCCACTAAATCAAAGCTGAATCACTTCAGAGAGAGAACTGGTAAAAGAAAAAAACCCACAACAGAACAAACCAAAAAAAGTCCTCCCAACCCCCCCAGTCAAACCAAACCAAAGGAAAAAAAAAATAAATCTACACTTCAACAAAGCCTGAAGGAATCAGCTGGCTTCAGGCCAAGAAATGCTAATGGAACACATATTAGCTGAGACGAAGTGAAGTAAGTTTCCAACAGTCATGAAAGTTGTTTAAGATAAATACTCATTGTACAGGGAAAAAAAGGCAACTCCACCAGACCATTCTCCAAACTCCTGATCTTGCATTCCTTGCACACTCTAATTCCCTTTAAAGCAATTATGAGTTTAGGCTATGTGCCAGGGTTATATAACTATGTCTTAAAAGACAAATATACAGTAGTACAAAGCAAAAATATGTACAGGATTAGGGGAAAAAAAACCCAAATCTAACAACCCAACCATAGCCAGACAAACAAAACTAGAAATTTAGAAAGAAAAGTACAATGATAATAGCTAAAGGTAAGGTACATTTTTAATGTGTTTCTCTAGAATTGGAAAATATTAAGGAGGAGGAAATTCAGAGTGAAGGGGGTACAACTGGAAAAGTTAAACAGGCTTGTCAAATAACAGAAATATTTGAGTTACGTTTCCTAAACTACTTTAAAAGGGAGTAAACTAACCAAATGCCATCTGAAATTGGCTGCATGCCCACCACTTTAGTTGACCTTAGGGTCAGTAAGGCAGAGGACAGACATAAGGTAGCATAGCTAAAAAATCAATACTAATATAGATAAATCACAGATGGAATTTATTATAGAGCAGCTGGAAATGCAAAGGAAGAACTCTGTGGATCAATACCAATGGTGTAACTTCAAAAAATATCCTCCAAGTATGAAACTGCTTTTCAAAACAATCAGCTTTAAGAAGCGAAGTTAGACGTAGCCATACTATGGAAAACAGACTGTGCTACTGTGAGAGTCTGGTGTAATATTTTAGATTGGTTGAATAATGTTACCTTTCAGTAAGTCCAAAGAGACTATGTAAAGATCAATAAGTCACATAATAATCTAACACGTACATGACGGCATCCATGAACTGGGCAGAAAACAACTATCCAAAATAAAATGGGAAATTCTAAACTGTTTCTTTCCCCATTTCTTTCCTTCTAATATATATTTTGGTTACATTTTTAGGTACAATTTCTTGTACTGTGCAAAGTTTTAAAGAATTACTGGCAACCTTTCAAGATATTCATCAATGTCGAGATTTTTATTCTGTAGGGAGTCATGTCAGAATGAAAACGATAAATGTTACCATGAAGTACTGCTAGTGAGCCATTCCTGCGAGAAAGTTTCCTTCTGTACCACTGCACAGGACAGTCAGTCACATCTCACACAGGCTGATATTTCTACAGTCCCTTTTCTGTTTGCACCACAATTAACATTTAAAGGATTTTTATCAAAGGTGTACCAAAGCCACCTTCTACATGAAGGATGCAATTTCACTGTTAGTTTAAACTGAACTAAATTCGGGCCGACACTGAGAGGGTAGTGAAGTTTGGGACTATTTTTCCCCTCATACTTTTCAACTATATCAGCTACCTAATTCAGCTGGCCATGTGGCTGCATAATTGCTGGTGCCTTCACAGTGAAGAAGTCATAAACTGGAGTTGGGAAAGACAGGCTTTTGCTTTTCACAGTAAAATATGGTCTTTGATGCAGCATAAGCCAGTCAACTACACCCAAAAATAATATGAAGATACTAAATTCTGCCACGTATTTCCTTAGGCCATATGTAGTATTACACTGCAGATGAGGAGAGTCACAAAGCAAACTTTCACACATAAAAAGACTGGACAGATAATGCAAATTGAGAATATCTAAAATGCTTTTTAGAAGAAACTATAAAATTCAATGGACAGCAAGTTGCCTGATTAGCAGGTTACAGGTATTTCACTGAGAGGACAGAATTCCACCCAGTTAAGAAAGCCAGATCATTTCTGAATCTGACTATACTTCTCTTACACCCTTTTTTCTTTCTATATTGACACAAGTTCCCCCTCTTCTACTTCTCAAAGTTAAAAAAAGCCCCTCTGACAGCAAGGGTGCACACATGCTCCATTAGATCTTGCAGTCCCACCTGAAATGGTGTAGAATGGTTTACCTAATAAACATTAGAGGTTACTAATCATATATTGAATTCACAAATCAAAACCAGAGAGGTGGATAATACAAGAATATATCAATGTTGATGTTGGTGAGAATTCAGAAGAACTTTTGAAAACAACAGAGCACATCAAGATTACAATGGCACATATATAACACTTGGGAGACAGCTATGAACAACATCTGAAAACAGATATGAATTTAAACATTTTATGCTACTCCTCAACGACGATAAACAATACCTTTCAAATTCTTCTTTGTATGGATGGCAAAAAAAAGGGCTATGAGACTATCGGATACTACCTTTTTGTTGTTTCTACAAGACATCAGTGGGATTTTAGAAATGTGGGCAGCACAAAGGTCCCATTCCCCTTTGAATCTTCCAACTAGCAGTCCAAGGAGTAGCAGCAGATTCCTGCTTGGCAAGACAGCCTGGTTTCTGGATTTCTGCTGCAGGGGGGAGAGGTAATTTGCACTCTCCCACCTACTTGAATAAAGTTTCCTCACTGGCAATGACCTTCACTTTGGGAGCACATTGCTAACTACACTGGCTGAGAGAACCCTCCCAACATACATGACTGCCATTCCACCCACCCAGCAGCACCAGCTCTGTCCTTCTGCAGTCCCATTGCAACGTCTAGAAATGTCAGTTGCATAAGGCAACAGAAGACCCCATCTGGAAATAGTCCCCGTTGAGGCTCTTGTTTCTATAATCCACCCTTACTGAATACACTAATGAATTAAAACATACAACTGTGCTTGAAAATGCTCATCTCAACTCAAAAAATATCACTCAGCCATGCAACTAAGCTCATTTGTGTGCAACTGCCTTTAATCTAAACCACAGTTACCTCAGCTTCAAGTCACTGGACCAAGAGATCTGTGAGGCAGTCTGTCTGGCTAAATTTCCATGAGACAGGTTATGTCTCACTGCAAGGGAAGGGGGGGAAGAGAAGCAATCTTGAAGGGCTTTCAAGAGCTCCCCCAAGCTTTTCCAACTACTTGGCAAAGAATCCTTCAGGATATAGTAAGACTAAACTATGATGCTGGGCCAATTCATGAGAGCAATTCTGACCACAAATAAATTTCAGGGATATTGCTTCATACTCCTTCCAGAACACAGACTGATGTGATGTTGGTCTTGATATTCTGCAGGACACTGTCAAACACTTGTCTTGTTTAGTTTCTTCCTTCAGGAGCTCTGTCTCTTAAATTGTGAAGTTGTCTGTCTGATGTAAGCTGTAGCTTTCCTCCCTTCCCACCTTGTGGCTGAGCTACATAATGTTTGTTGGTTGGTTTGTTTTTTTTTTTTTTTTTTTTTTTTTTTTTTTTTAAAAAAAAAAACAAACAAAGAGCTGAAAGAGATTTTAGTCATTATTATATGTGGCTGAAG